CGCTGTCAGCGCTGTTCTGCAAGTGCCGGAGTTGCGCCCGCCTGGTGTTCTAGAGCTTTTTGAACTTGGTACTTTTGTACTCCGCTATGGTAACACAGCATTTGTGAAGAAAGTTACGAGGAGCTCTTTCTGAACTTCCTGAGCGTTTGCTGTTTACTTGTTGTTGGGGTCTCTGTAGAATCTGAAGGTTGGGGCTTGAAGTTCAAACTCGCGTATTTCTTGTTATTTCCTCTGCGCAGCCAAATCTGGCCTGTTTAATAAAGGTCAAGAAAAGCGAAGCTCGCTGTGGAGCTGAGCCTTCTGCGAGCGTTGGTGGGGCGTCACCACGCCTACAGAAGTACCCTGTGCAGGGGTGGTGCAGCGGGCTTCATTGCCCTCCGATAAAAACCAAGCTGACCTTCTAACGTCTGCTTGCAAATTTCATTTGTTTCCCCACTACTTTTGTGCTTGGATTTGGCTTTTATTTATTTATTTTTCTAAAGCATTCTCAGTTGTTTTGAAATTATGTTTCTGTGGCTCCACAGAAGCAGCGTTGTGGGACGTAAATCACACAGCCACAGGCAAGCGCCAGAATGAAAGGACTCAAATGAACAGAAAGTGGCGGGGCAGTAATTGCAAGGAGCTGAAATGTACAAGTAACGTGAGTATCGTTCCTGTACACACCCACATGCGTGTACGTACACGTGGTACCCAGAGGATCAGTGACATTCTGAAAGGAGAGTGAGGCTGTTTGTCTCTAGAGTTCTTTATCTCCTGTTGTAGCCATGGATAATTTTTAAATTCGCGTCTGCATATTTTATAATGTAGCTAACAAGAATAGACTCAAAGCCCCACTCACATAGGAATAGTGATGTTATTTACCTGCATTATTTACTCTAGAAAAAGCCTGAGAAATGGATGCATGTAAAAGTCAGACTATAAGAATTTCTGCCTTTAAGGAGCAAACTCCAGGAGTTCTCTGATCACAAAAAGGGTGCTGCATTTTCCTCAGTGCTCCTAGATATATGTCATGAGCAAAGTGCATCAGTTAATCAGCTGCCACAGCATGGTAGGTGGCCTATCATACAGCTTGCATCCAGACCATGGAATAGTTTAAAGATCAATACATTATCATATGTTGCCTCCAAAAATGAAATGATTAACTTCATACAGCCACATTCTCCACCAAGTGACATGTATAATGTGAAAGCAGTGTGACAGGATTTTAATAGAAGAAAAATATAGCTAGAAATAAATCAAGAAATAGCATTCCTAAGCTGCATAGTTGCAGCTCGTGAGCATCATTACCAGCTACTCACTGGTGAGAGGTACGTGTACATTTAATCTGCAGAGCAGAAATGAGTGAATCTTTGCACTGATCCTAATTATACAATGCAGTATCGTCTTTCACAAGTTCGAACTTCATCAGACACCATTTTATGTTATTTTTTGTTATTTGTTATTTTTAGGACTGCAGATACCCAAGTGCTGGTTCTTTGAGAATGAAGTTCAGTGTAAAGCAGTCACATGCTGTCACTGTTTGGCATACGTAACTACACATTGCTGGGATGGATGTACTTCTCTGTGCCTGCAGAGAGTAGCATATCTCACACAAAAGTAGTTACGGATGAGGAGCAGTTCTCTATTATTTTTTCCTGAGGGGTTGCTGAAGGAGAGAAGCAAAATGGTCTAGGCAAACCTATTATCATCTATTTTCCTCAAGTCAATAAATATTTCCTATTTAGGGAAATCGAATGCCGCTGAGAAAGAACATAAAGTGAACATTTGGCTTTTGTCTGTTGCTATAAGACCATAATTCCATATTGTAATGGCCTTAAAACTTGTTGATGGCATAAGAAAATGTGAGAACTGGAGACAATATTAGAATGACACTGTTGACAGCTTTGTAATTAGCTTGCCCTTAAGCAGCAGGTTATTTTCCAAATACTTGTAGATACATGTTAGCAGTTAGATTTCCCAATTCCTTTTGCAGATCAGAAACCAAGAAGGGATCAATTAAAGGAAGACTGTTTTATGTTCTAAGAGAACAACTGTTCTGTAATGTTTATAATCTCTAGATTGATCTGAAACCTTAACAGTAACTATTCAGTAGTCTTTAATTTGTGCTTAGGTTAGGATTTTCTCCTTTTTCTAATATAAGTAGCAGATTTAGTTTGTTAGGAAATTTGCATTAACAAAACAAAGATGACTATCTCAGCAGAAGAGATATACTCTATATCCTAACACAGTATGCCCGAAGAGTCACTCACGGTTATTTTCTAGTTCTGTTACCAAACAGAACCAGATGTATGTAACTGTCTTTTGCTCATGTTCGGCAAATTCTCTGAAATGTTAAAGATGACCAGTGGTGATTTGAATTGTCCTCTGCTTTGTGTTGAGATGCAGCTCTGGAGACATCAATTTTCAACCAAGCCCATTTGAGCATATCTCGGTTCCCTTCTTCACAGACAGCCTTGCAGATTCTGTCTGACTTACACTGTCTCCATGCTGTCAGCATTGATACATTTTAAATGTAGAATCTCTATGTTTTTTCTCTACCAGCATGGTAGACAGGCTGATGGTAACAAAAGTTGTGGGAAGGAAGACACAAAGCTATGCTTTAAAATGTAAGGGTGAAAGCAGTCTATAACAGGCTATGAAACAACAAAGATGTTTTATTGCTATTAATGCGTTAAAACTTACCTGGAGCAATATAGAAATATGCTTCTAGTTTAAGCATAGAAATTGGATGCTCCTGGATTTAGGCTCAAACTGTTTAGACTTTGAGATTGTCTTAGAAGATTCTTTAGATCACAGCAGTTTTTGCTGGCCAAGCTGGTGGTTTTTTCGGTGCTGTACTAATCACAAGTAGGTGTCCCTTTTTCAGCACTGGTGTTTATCTGTTCCATGGGGCTGAACCTGCAAAATGCAGCAGCTCAGCAGGAAAGGGGAAGTTAGCTTGCCTTGGGTAATCTTGCTGAAATGTGTTCTAGAGAAGACAGGTAAAGTCAGGAGAGTTTATAAGTGCAGTGAGGCAGACTTAGATCTCATCTATACAGTTGTGCCTTCCAGTGATACCTGAAGTTCTTGGACCTCAATATACATCACCATTTGTTAGTGAACAGCAAGCATGTAAGTGCAAAATGTAGAAAATCAGGCAAAACTCTACCATAAATTCTTACAGCTTTAAGGAATGCACAATGACATGTTCACAGTCCCTACCACATTAAACTCATTCAAAATGAAGATTTTATCTTTTCCATGAAACTATGAAAGTCTCAAAAACATGAACACCATACAGTTTTGAGGATAACTGGAAGAAATGCATCTGAACATAACAGATATTGAATGTGGAACACCTCCCTTATTGTCATACCATTTAGAAATGAAGAAACAACAAAAAAAAATCAACCCTGGATGTCAAGTTCTTCCCATTGATCTAGATTTCTTTTGTTTGATCTCCCACTCAAAATGTGAAGAGGTCCTAAATGGAGCACGTAACCCTGTATCTGAGGAATGTTTTCACTACTGTATGCTCTTTACCTAGCAAAGAAAGAAAATACAGTGTACAGTTCTGCTCCTGGTGTAAAGATCAGTGGTAAAAACGGAATTTTGAAACACTATTCCTAAGGCCCTGCCTTCATTTGTTATTACCTGAATTTCCTTCAGTTTGGGTGCAATTCCTGTATTTGCAATGAACTTTGAAGAATGAAAGGAGATTTTTTTCTTTCTTTGTTAGTTTCTCTAGACTCGAGGAGCAAGACTATTTTGAACATGGAAATCCAGGAATTGTTAGATCAATGATCTTTTTTGCTCGTGTTTGTACCATAGTAGGGTCTAAAAGGAGGCTCATACAGCATTGATAGTCTCATTTCTGGCAAAGCTCATTTCTGCAGGCTTTAGCTCAAGGAACAAATAACACAGTAAACTTATTTAAATGAGCAGTTTGAGTACTGGTATATGTATTGTTTATCTTTTTAAGCTGTAGGAAGATTTGAGTGATGGGGAGGCCAGCCTATTCCTATGATTTTCCCTCCAGAGATATAAGCCAATATAGTGGCAGCTAGTATATCCTGCATGAATGGGGCTTGCATCTGTCCTGTCTTGTGTAATAGCCTTCCATTTCAACTACTTACACTGACCTTCTAGTCTCACAGTTTCAAATATTTCCAACTTTGTGGCTTACAGCCTTTTGTAAGTGAAACGTTTTAATGGATAGAACTTGTGGTTTGATTGAAATCTTTCTGGTCATTGAAGGAAGGGCTAGCAATGTAAAATTAATACAAATGGGGCTTTGAGCAACCTGGTCTGGAGGGATGTGTCCCTGCCTATAGCAGGAGGGTTGAAACTAGGTGATCTTAAAGATCCCTTCCAACCCCAACCATTCTATGATTCTATGATTAATGACTGTAATAGTTTCTGACACTACAGTAGATGAACCATATATCATAAGATATCCTAGGCAGAAGAGTGAAAATTCTAAAAAGAATATATTTAAATTAATGAAGTAAAGGAACTATATAAAAGCACTTGCTTCCTACAGATTTGTAAGTTTCTTACATTAGCTAAGGAAAGTGCTTTTGGAATTAATACAAAGCCTTGTTTGCTTCTCCAGTTGTGAAGTATTTTTTCTTAAATCCTGAACCTGTGGATTTATGGGGGGCAGTTGTAAAAAAAATATGCCTAAGACTACCCCCTGTAGAATCTGAAGTAGATCAGGTCCTAATAGCTAGCGGCAGCAGGATCCACTTCTCAGAACAGGTAAGGAGCCTGTACTCCAGATGCATGCCAGCCAGACCAAAGAACCAGTCTTGTAACTTGTTCGTGTGGCTGAAGAACGCCCAGGCTTAAACACTATTACTGTAGGACCCAAGTGAAACAGTCTGAGGAGGATGAAGTTAGGAGAAATTTAGAACAGCTGCAATATAAATAAATACTAATCATGTACTAACTTGCTATATGGTTATCTATTAAGCCCTGAGGCAAAACAGAAAGGTTAAAAAATTCAAACAATTTACGTGTTATTGTATCTGGGAATCTACAGTTTATTTCAGCAGTAAGTGCTCCCAAACTTGAAGAACAACATTTTAAATCTACAACACTAAAATAGAAAATATTTTAAATGCACAGAAACACAATTTACCCTTAATGTGATTAAAACGTCACAAGGTTGGTTTTTTTTTTGTTTTTTTTTTTGCAGTTAAGTGGCAATTAAGGATGTGCTTCATAACACTGTGTAGAAATCTGCAAGTTTCCTGTACAGGTCAGATCCTCATGCTTGTGCAAGTCGTTCTAGGACTCTTCGGTAATCTGAAACAAGTTGCTGGAAGCTCTCTTCTAACTGTTCGTGTTGCATGTTTAGGTCTATTTGGTTCAATTGATTTGTCAGCTCTTCTGGTCTTAAGCACCTTCTCATCTTGGCAAGTTCTCTCTGCTTTTTCTAAGCAATTAAATAAACAGTAATTTGAACATAAGGAACAATGAAGAGTACAGTATTTTACTGAACTTATACTGAACAATATCTAGGTATCTAGGTCTTTAAGAAGTCCCTAGTCCTTTAAAAAATAAAAAAACACAAAACCCCAAAACCCACTAACAGTTTAATTAGGAAACCTCTTCTGTTAAAGCTCCACAGTTTCTGTATTACCAATTATCTGGCAAGCTGAAAACTCATTTCAAAATTTTTCTGTGTTTCTGCAACAGTTAGTCAGGAAATAGCTCTAAGATGCAGAACCAATGTTAATAGTGGAAGATATTAAGAATTTAGAATTATACTGCACCTGTACAATACAATTCAAATGAAGTTATCAAGTGCTTTATAAAAAAGTTGTGTTTACATGACACAAGCATTAAGAATGCTGTAATATTGCCAATTCTTTATAAAAGGTTGCTTTCTCCCCAAAATTACTATATATTGAGAGTTCAGCTGCAGTTCTGACGAGTTTTATTCTATTTTTTTTAGAACAGGAGTATAACAAGATTTTTTTGTGAAACTGTTAAAAATTAGTATGTAAGCCATCCACTAGGCAGAACAATCATAAACAAGATGACCATATTTTAAAACATGAAACTTAAAAACTAAAAAAAAAAAAAAAAAAAAAATCAGGGAAAGGGTGCTGGCTTGTTTTGATCATTCTTTAGAAGAGAACTATGGTTGAAAAAGTGGAATATTTAAAGCAATAGAATATTCTAAAATTTCAGAAGACAAATATCATATATCTAGCAGTACAATATCTGTAAAGTTTTTACTCACAATGCATTTATTACATGCAAAGACTAAAGTGAAAACAATTATTAGAAGCACTAGATCTGAAGCTGCTTATGGAATGAGATTTCCTCCGAATATTAAGCTGAATTACATGCTGAGGACATGTGACAGTCCTGTTGGATGAAAAATCATGGCCTTATTTGTAGTGGACAGCAAGTGAAATTTAGTAAATGAGACAAGACACTCACAAAAGAGAATAGAAAGTGTTTTGATTAGGATCCTGTCACTCAGCATGACACGGTGTTATCTCCAGATCAGCCAAGTGTTTAATGCAGTGCTGAGTTCTCATTTCTGCTAACAGACCCCCTAAGTCCAACATGAGTACAATCAAAGTTCTGCTATTTTGGTAAAACAGGATAAGTGCTGCTTTAGGGAGGCTTGCAAGCTAATCAAGATACTTCTGATACTTTGTGAAACTTTTCCAACCAGGTTTTGGGTTGCTCAGTGATTACTTAATTGCAGAGTAGCTAACATGCTAGTTACAGCAATAAACTTAGGCTTGTGGGTTTTTGCAATCAATACAGAAACTAATGTCATTAGCAACTAGGAGATACATACATACACACACTATAAATACACACACACATACACACACACACACACGCACCCCTAATCTTAGAGAATCAGTTAATGCAACATGCAGCAAGCAAATCCTCAAAAGCATACTCGGTAGGAAATAGGAAAGTAACTCTGCACTAAGTTTAGTATTTGATTCAACTTCACAGTTGAAATTATATCCCATCTACAGGGAGTACTGTATAGACATGGCTAGGTTACCACTAACAAGCTGCTCTGTTAGACCTCGTTAACAAACAGAACAGGAATCTAAACTATACCTAGTTTTCTAGTGTAAATATATAGCATTTAACCCTCACCTCTAACTTTGTGGTTTATGTATTTAAGATACTTTCAACCTTTCCAAGAAAGTGACTTCTGTCCCCTCTCCCCTCCCTTTGCTCTAACTGGATTTTAATGCCACTAGTAGCTAGGTACTGTAAGGGTAATAAATTTCTGCTGGAATTGGGCAAGTAACAGGAGTCAAACAAGATCTTTGGTACAGCCATGAATGAATGTTCTCCGCATCTGTGTATGTCAGCTGAATGCTGCATAACTAATAGTAGTTGATTGGCAACATAATTGGCATCAACTACATTTATGGAAATGGAAGTAAAATCAGGTATAATTAGCCTTGAAATAAGTATTAAATGATACATAAGTCATATACCTTATAGGGGCCAATCAGCCTTCTTTTAACATCCAACCGGTAGCTTCTGGATTGTTCTGCATCACCCATATCTGTTGCACGCAATCGGAGAATTTCATAAACTCTCCTTGTGTGTTGCTAATAAACGAAAAGGAGAATAAAGAACACGTCTGAGTAAAGAGGTCATTCAGCAGTAGTATCACAGTATTTCTCTGCTGAGTAACTCCTCAGCTTATCGGAAATCAATCAGATACCAACAAAGCCTCAATCAGCCTGATCCTCCTTACTAGTGGGTTAAATGAATAAATGTTCTAGTTACTCCTGAAAAAATAATTTATTCCAATACAGCTAGTGTGTAATCTCTCAAAATGTTGCAGTGTCTGTGAAGGTGCTTTAAGGACCTGCTATAAATGAACAGCAGGAAGTCCAGAAGCCAGAGTCCAAAACTAATCTGAAGTAGTATTGGAACTAGAGTAACGTTAAGCAATTAATTACTACATAGTACCTCCTGTACTAATATAAATAATCTTGACATACTTATTGCTCTTCACAAAGTCCTCTGGAAATGCTAAAAATGACAATGAAAGAATATTTAAATGTTTCTTTTTACTAGGAACAAATGAATCAGTACATGCAAAATTGAGGTGATTTTGGAACACTGATCAGCAACTATCACATCTGGAAAGGAAACAGATTGATGTTTCTACTGTATTACTATGAACTGTTATAACATTAAAACTGAACTTAAGATCAACTACTCCTTTGCTGAGCAACAGGGTTAAAAATAAAATGGTTTGCTATACTAATCCATCTTTAGATTCTATTAAGAAAATAAACTTAATTATCCTTTTAGGTGTAACATCTCAGGTACAGAAGGCTGCAGGTGTATTTCTCTTATACAAACAATAACATTTTAATAAATATATTTGAATAAGGCTTTTCCTCTGCAACCCTCATTCAACACTTTCATAAAAAACACATTCAAATACATGTATTTTTAACTGAAGAGCTTACTAATGAGTTTAATCACTTGGACAATTATCAGTTTAATTGTTCAATTTAACAGTTTAGTTCTTCAAGCATTTAGAGCTGCCTCAGTAACAGTGCTAGCGTTACTACTTTAGTGTTCTGAGAACAACAGTGGCTATTTATAAAGATATACTTGAAGAGATGGAAACTGACACTTAAAATTGGAATATTTCAAGTTCTGTTACATTAATAGCATTAGATGGAAAAAAAGAAGGCATTTACTTAAAATCTTAAGCAATTTCTTCACTTTCAGATACATTGTAGAAATCTGTTGAAGTATGCCACAGTATGTTAACTCCAAGTCTCCACCCCTACATTTGGACTACTGTTATACTAGCTTGATAAGAATAGGTCCAACTACCACTGTTCCGATTTAATACCTTATTTATTTTCAGCTTCTGTTGAGCTTCCATTACCATTTCTTGGCTAAAGCCTTGCATTAACTTTCCTGGGGAAAAGCAAAGCAAGTCTTGACAGAGCTTTACAAGAACAAAGTCTCTTAGCTTTATGTAGTTTTCAGATGGATCTTCAGCTAGAAAAAAATTATAAGAGCACATGGTTAATATAAGCATTATTTGTTTCTTCGTTTTTGGTATGCAATTACAAGAACTGTGGAAGACAAGACCAGATACAACATTCATCATGTATAAATAGCTGTGCTTAATCATAAGTACTGCTATCGGAGTTTTAGATGTATGACAATACAAGTTAAATTGTACTGTGTACAGTATTATACACGTTTCCAAGAGACTGATAAAACAAGTTCAATCCAATTCAAAGCATAAACCCTTTTTTCTTGTATGTTCCCTCTATTCTATAACAGATGAGAGCATTAGAACTATTGTAAGACAAACTATGTGGAAAAAGACTGAAATAAAAGGTGAAAGTAAAGTTACTTGCATCTTGCTTGAAACAGTAGCATTGCTATCAAAACTGTAGCTTTATAAAAAAACCAAACGAATAAAAATCAAGAACTAGCTTCAGTGATCATCAACATTGTCCTATTTGCAACTTTGTTCCCACCTAGAACTACAGAGAAGGAAAATGTTACAATGCTGCAAATAGACTGAATCACTACTTAATAGTTTGGACAGGTTTACTGCAATTGCGTAGCAGGGTCATCCTCTACCCTACCTTTATTTTTCTGTTCAGTTTATTGTTGAACAGCTTATATTCCAGCTGTGCTTTTTTGTTCATTTTCTCCCCCTTTCCCTCAAGATGAGGACTATTTTATGTAGTTGAAATTTGCAGTTTAAGAATGATCAAAAGCTAGTATGATACTAAGAGAAAGGAGTAGGATATAAGTTTTGGTCCCGGTATATGCAGCACTGCACAACCAGCAATTTGTTTTTTTGGGTTGCAGATTGCTTAGGACCACTGCATCAGTTAAAAAGATTTGCACATGAGTGGAATAATCTTGTGTGGCAAAACTTATAGCACTTATTCTGCAAAAGAGATTGAAAAGGCCGTACTGAGATTCATTTATTCTGTTCCTTTTCATTCAAATTAGTTAGAAGAAAGATGAGGCAGTTTCTGTATGGTAAGCACTACCAACATACATTTCACTTGTGTCAACTAGGATAATGAGTTACAGTTGGGATAAAATATCCATTGCAAATGTGAAAGTCTGAAATACTTTATTTTTTTTAGGCATTAGTTTCTTCAAGGAAGTTGAAATTCTAATCATTCTGAAAAGAGGAAAGGCTTTACTTAACAACTTTAGAGGATATGTAACTATGCATTTTGTTCATTATCAAGGTTGCCAAGCCTGATGTTCTAACAGAATGACAATAAATTACCTTGCAGAAGTGTAAGATTACATAACTTTAGTGCCATGTAGAATATTGCAAGCTTCCTCCTGCTTTAATCCAAAAAGAAGAGTTACTTTAGTGCAAATTTGCTGTTTGCTACAAATTTGCATTAAAGACACTGAGCCATGAATGTGTCATATGATTTATGTAGTACTATATTTAAGACTGTTTATTCTCAGTTATAAAGGCTATGTAAAGCTTTGTAGTATTAATGGGAAAAAAAGGATAAAAATCACACAATGAATAAGACTTCCTACTGCATAAAGGAAGTTATGCTTCTTTAGGTTTCTATGAATTGGATTAAAATTACAAGGTAGATTACCCTGTGTTAGGATTATCCTGCAGTGATACCATGAAGAAAGCAAGTGTTGTAATGCATTTTAATTAGTTTTTTTGGAGGGTAGAGGAATAGGACATCTTTTTTTTCTTTTTGAGATGAGGTCTTAGATGACCTCAGATTTATATGTTTAAAGTGTATTTCTTCCTATATTGGACTTAAAACTAAAGGACAGATATGATTGTAACCATTTTTAATGCTATATTTTTAGGTGTGTGTACCCTCTCTCCCCGTTCTTTCATTAAATTTTCACTTTCATGTATTTGTGGGCTCACCTCTAATATGACAGGTGCATTCAGCCAGTAATACATGCTCCTGGAGCACAACTCCTGTGCAGATTTTTGTCTGTAGACTTTTGGCTTATATACATGTTAATACGCTATTTCAGATTTTTCTCAGTTTTGAGTTTTAGCTAATAGGAATAAGTTGAACAAGGAATCTGACAAAGCTTGATCTCCTGGCAAACTCAGCTGTGTATCTCACAATAAAATGGCTAATTAGCTGGTAATCCATGCATGCTAGGGATTGAATTTTCCTGGTGTGCTGTTCTCTAAGTAGAGGATTTAAGGAGCTACATTATATACAGTTCTTCTGTAAAATAGGGCACTGTTAATCCTGAACTGAGCTGAAGCTAAACCTTCAAAAGGCCATTTAGTTCTAACAAGTGAACATGAAAGCTGGCTTGTGGGCTAGCAGTCTCTGAATGCAACCAAACAGGTGAAATGAGTTAGAAATTTAGTATATACCTGTTATATCAAGTACTGTAGGAGAAGACATATAGTATCTATGAACTGTTTCGAGAAGCTGAGCACCATGGCCTTCTCCTTGGAATGGTGGCAAGATCAGCATCTGGCTACAGACAAAGGAATGTATTGATATTTCAGTTCAAATGCATGCTTTTGCAAACACTGCAGTGTAAAGGCATAAAAACTAAGTTTTTCTTAAAATACATGCATCGGTCTTAATGTTAAAACATAATTCTTACAGAGTCTTAGAACTGCTAAATATTCAAAACTTGTTTGCAATTCCCTCTGCTTCAAGAAGGGAACAATGAAATAAATCAGTGCGTAGCCAGCTAATAATGGGGATTTTTTTAAAACAAATCAACACCATTATAAACAAGTATTGGGAACTTCAGCAGTTCCCTCTTCTGAAATAAAAGGCAAGGCACGAGTTACGCCGCCAATTACCTTACACGTGGCCGGGTTTTGTCTGGGTACACATAGTAATTATAGACTGTCATGTAGCCTACGGTCGCAAAGAGCGTAGCTCCATCCTTATTATACTTCTCAAATCTGCAGATAAAACAGAAAGCCAAGCAGGTCAATTACAGTCGCGCTCCCATGCAGTGTCCATTTTCTTTTCCATTCTCCAACTGAATTTTCAGTGTCAGCAAGCTACTCTGTGAGGGCCCAATGGGTACACCTGCTATGTTCTGAATGTACAATTCACTTAATTGGTGTGCAGCAACTTGGATAAATCAGACCTCTTTACAGCACTTCAGTGCACTTGCCTATTATAAAGATGAATAGGTGGCAAGTAAAAGAAAACACAGGCAAAGCTCATTTTACTGTTTAAGCCTACATTCAGGGCTCTAACGGACAACAGCATTTAATTCAGCTCTATTCTCAAGGTTCCCCAAAGTATAATGGAGGAAAACTCAAGCCTGATAAACAATGGTTTTTCTTTCCTGGGAAAAATATCATTATACTGCTCCAATAATTGGCCAGCCACAATTAAAATGCAGGCTTTGTGGAGGTAATAAGGTCCACTGTTGCTTTAGAACTGTACTTACACTATAAAGTAGTTCCATCTTTCATCATCTACATCAATAAAGCTAGCAGTTTCAATAAACCACATCAAGAATGTCTGAAGCCTTTCATGATATTCTCGAAAGCCTGGACACGTCATGTCAGCCTAGGGAAAAAGGCAGGAGAAGTCAGGTGAAACCTATCACAGATGCAAAAGGAAAAAAAAAATCCGCAAAACCTAATTACTTCCCCCCATACAAAAAAAAAAGCATGCTCCTAATCAATATATTGGTCAAATTATAATATTTTTTTATATATATATAAATATATATGTTAAACATTACAGAAGGTGCCTCGCTGCAAAGTAAACTTTAATTTGCTTACTCATGAAGTTTCACTTATTTTTCATACCTTATATATCTGATATGCAATGTCTTCACCAGCTTCCTCATTGTGAACAGAATATGTGTGTAGCAGCATTCCAAAGGGCTTAAAGTTGACCTCCTTTTCCAACAGAGAGACAAAGTCATCTGTGTTTGTACAAAAGCCAGGAGGAATAATTTCTCTAATTTTACTTTCAACATCATCTGCCTGGGGAATACAAAACAGGGCAGGATCAGCAGAAGATTAAAAAGACAGCAAAGTCATCATTTTGCTATTAGAGATGAATATAAAAAGGAGTGCTACGGCCTATCAGTAACTTTAAATAAAAAAGACAAATATTCCTGTTGTTCAGATCTCTGAGCAGATAAAGATAACTGAAGAGATACAGAAGGGCCAGTCCAGCCATTGTCAGTATTCAAAAGCTAGTAGTTACAACATAAATAAGTTCCTGAACATGTTTATATTTAGTGACTGTTACATTTGTCTAAGCAAGACAAGGAAGGAAGCTGTGGATTCGGTCAAGCACTAGGAACAATATTCTTGTTTTCCTAGTTTGTTGGATGAAACATTAGTTTCTGAAAAATGCAATAAAATTGGTAGCTCAGGCTTTTCATCCAGCAAACCTCTGTGACCATGTTGCACATAGCCTTGTGGAACTGGGGTTTCCAAATAAGCAGCTTAACTGGTATTAGGTGGTACAGAACTGAGTGGAGAAAAAGGAACAAAGACTAAAAATGGTAGCCCCCAAACAAGACAGTGACAGCTAGCACCACTGTTGCATCCTTATCTCTCTGTGCTTGAAATGCTTGCTTGTACTCTAATCAAAGAATATTTCGAAAACAAAGCTGACAAAATAAAAATACAATTTAGAAATATGGTTAATAAATCTGACGTGTAAAATCTAACTTAGCAGAGAGGGAAGAAATATTCTGACACCAAAATTAAATTCAGAGATCAAAATTACCCTTTTCAGTTAACCAAACTGAAAGTTACAGACTATCAGCTGAGCAGACTTCATAATCCTTTTCAGACCCAAAAAGACCACTTGATTGAATACATTTACTACTTCTTTTAACCATGAATATTTGATGAAGTTTCACAATAACGTATTACTGCTTCTCACCAGGCAATAAAACTTAATGAATTGGTCTCAACTTAACAAAACGGTACTCCTCAATACAACCCCTAAAAGCCTGACATTACATTCAACAAAATGAGCTTACATTCAATTCAAACTTTCCTTTGGACAATGAATCCAGGTTTTTACTTAATGGAGTTTGCAGTGAGTTCAGCTGTAATGTTTGTATTGTATCTATTTCCACAAGGACTGACACAAGAACACTTTGTGTTAACTTACTAAGCAGCTCTTTCACACCGTTTACATGCATGATGGGTATTAGTTTGAAACCAAGACCCTCGCTACTTAGCATTCAAAACAGGGAAATTAAGATGCTTAGAACAAAATACACTACAAAAGGCTAATACAACATGCTACTAATTCCTGTCCTTTCAACCATCCTCCCTTAAGTAGAGGCAATGCACCTGCAAATGAATAGCACTTCATCATTCAGTTACATTTTTAGTATAGAGAAGGATGGATGTGGTTCAGCACAAACAAGTTTTATTCTTAATGGTTTGGTACTACCAACATTTATATTTATATTTGTAGAGAGCACTATAAAGCGATTAAGATATAGCTCTACAATACTTGGTATAACAACGCAGTGAAAATGTGTACAGCCTTTACATCAATTTCGTTCTCAAAACAAAGGCCCTTTTCTGTTCATCTTCGAGCAATGCTAGCTTAATGTATTTTCTTTGCATTTCCTAATGTAACTGCGTAACAGAACATGAGCCATGTTTTGCTGAATCACTGAATTATATACATTAACAAGAATGGGTATTTGTAAGGAGCACAGCATTTCAGAAATGCTCATCTTTCTTTCAGACTGCAAGTATATTTACACAGATCTTAATTCTGCCCTGGTGATAAAGACAGAGGAAATCACATCTAGTGACTTTCATTTTGCACATCTGCAAAAGATATGTAAAATAATCCACAATTAAAACAAGACTTCCAAGCACCAGTATGTATTACCTTCATAAGGAAATCATATGAGATGAAGATAGGGAATACAGTAAGGACTTGTAACCTAACTTGTTTTGTAGTAGGACTAATTGAGCCATCAGGATCTCTTCGTACATTACATTTGACTCTGGATAATATTAATGTAATTATACTAATAGGCAGTTATCACATTTGTGTATATTTTCATGCTATTTCAAAATGGTATGTTCACTTAAAAATAATTATAGAAATATATTTGAAAGCTAAACTTTTCTACCAATTATAAATATTAACTCCAGTGAGGAGCAATGGAATGATCTGCAGTGTTAAAGTATGTCCAATATTAAAATTGCACTTTCATTAACTTGAGTTAAAACAGATGTATCAGACCAGCTGCAAAGCATGATAACACGTGGATAGTAAAGACTGTTTCAGAGGTTAGTGAAATACTTTCCCTCACTCCATCATGAAAACTGGAAGAAAAGGTAGGTACTTGTACAGCTGCAAATCTGAAAGCAGCTAGCAATTCAGAGGTCAATGCTATTCGTATTTACACCAGAAGAAAGCAGCCTCTCTTCAGATATTTAAAAGAATTGACGCCACCCAATGGATAAATTCTGTCTATTTTCATTAAATCAAGTGCCAAACAAGAACATACATCTGTTCAAAACATGACAAGACTTTGCTGAGCCTTCCCCACTATTGCAGTATAGAAGCATCTTCAGAGAGACCATATTAAGATGCGTAAATATGCCTGGTGCTCTGGCTGCTGACATTTCAGGATTTTCATCTTTTACCTCATAGTTAAGAGACCTTGGAAAAACAGCTGATCTGTGAGGTCAAATGGCCCGCATGGGGTTTTTGATAAAAAATGCTAGAGTATGAATAACTATAAACAGCATTAAAGCTCAATTCTCCTTGTAACCAGTTTGTTCAAAGCAGAGACTTACGTCCTTTCCTGAACACCATTTATTTGAAGCACAAAGATTACCTGTTATGCATAGCATTTATAGTTCATGCATTAATATGATTAACCCAAATGAGCTAAGCAACTAAACAGTTAACTTAGAAAAGTAAATGGTAATATGCATTTAAATTAACACCATGCTTATTTTCATCTCTGCAAATATGTTAATATTTTAAGGTAGTTAAACAGCAAATATAAATGGCAGAACAAGACTGGCTGCTATATCTTTTTTTCCCCCTACAGTAGTTCAGATATAGTCACATGAGCAGCTTATTAGGACACATAGTCTGTTAGTGATATCAAGGAAAGCACATTGAAAGTTCTTCAGCCACATCCTGCAGATATTCTAGGAAACTACCTGGAAGCTAGCTCAAATGGATATTCTTTCTTGTTCCTACCTCAGTCTATTATGCAATTGAAAAATAATTCAATAGAGGCAACATTGAGCCTGAACGTAGGAAGGATTCTGAGCAATGGAAATAGTTGCAGTGTAAGCTTAGAGCATGAGAGACCTCATTTACCTTGTTTATACTTCCATATAAGAAAAATGGCCTTATTTGTACAGAAAATAGCACGTCGATACAAATGTGTTGAGGTGTGGATTCCTACTGTGATGTGATTTTGAAATTATGTTGGTGAAAGGCTGGAAGGAGAGGTGGCCTGTTGGATTTTAATATGGTTATTACTTAACCAACTGTCTTTCCTTTTTTCTTTATTTCTAAAAACCTTACAAACATTGAAGAACATGACCTTTCACTGGTAGGTGAAAGTCCTAAGGTAGGCTGCCCTAGCCTCAGAAGTATTTCAGACATGTCCAGACATTTACACTGTTGAACTAACTATAATCTAACACGGCTTCAGAACACAGAAACAAAAACCTGTAAAACTAATTTAACACAGTCAATTCAATTTTTCTTTAGAAAGCCTTTTCCTTGAAAGCATTTAAATAAGCCCTGATGAATTTGAAATATGAACTTTAAATCATGAAGATGTTTACTCTTGAAGAGAATAGCTTTCTTGGGCAAAGTAATTTGAAGTCAGTGCAAACATACAACCACTTCACACTACAGAATATTGTGAAGATTCACCAATCACCTTATTAACAGCTCTTTTCAAAATAAATCATTTTTTCCTTGCCTATAACTAAGTAAATCTCAGATGATATTCAATTATGACATTCAATTTTCTTAATGCACCAGAATCCACTCCGAAAAATTCATTCTTCTTTCTTAATGTAGTCTCTTAAATGTGAATTAAACCACTAGCTCTCCTGGAGACAGCTAGCATGAAAATAGACTTCTTTTTCATTTGGTACAATTTTGATGGCAGTATCAGAGTCAAAGGAAAGAACAATGAGAAAACATATACATAAGTTTTATGTTTTTTTCAGGTTAGCACAATAGGAAGCTTTATTTTTAATGTAACTCATGTTTGGAAGGACAGTAAGTAGCCCTAGAAGGTTTGTCCCCATTAAGTGTTCCCAATAAGTACAAGTCTGGCTCTATCTTTACCTCCACACAGTCAAACTTCTCATTAACTTTAGATGTATATTCAATGCGGAAGAGAGTTGACAGGTTACCAGCAATATAGTATAAGAGAATCTTCAGTCCCTTGTAGCCAAAGGCAACTTCACTGAGGAAGGAAAAAAGCACAGTCAGACCTCTGAATGAGTTTCATTGCAAAATACTCAAACCACAGTATTTAAGATTTTAAACCCACATCCTCCTTCCCAGTGAGGTGTACTAAACCTTTTAATAGTGAAAGAGAATCAAATTGGATGTATGCTATGTAGACAGAGATAATGCCTTATGCTATTTTAATTAGTAAATTTGCTCCTCTAGTGGAGAAACAGAACACGTCTCTGAACTCAGTAAGACAGCAGCTGTATATTTATGGTGATTTCAAAGAATACTTGAAATAACTAATATTGCATTTATGTTCATCATTGTCTTAAGTTCACTAATGTTTATTAATACAAATTGATAAATAACGCTTACTAAAACTTTGTAGTAAGCAGTGTAAAGTTTTGAAACATACTACTGCAAGCCATACTGTATAAAATACCCAGATTACAAGTCATAGCAACAAGTATGTTTCTATTCTAATAATAAATACTGTTCACTAAAGTTAAAAATAACTATGGAAGAGATACTTTATTATTATCTTAAATATTCTGAAAAAAAAAGTGTTTCCTGAATATAAACACTACATTTAAGTCTTAAGAATTTATTTTCAAGAAAAAAAAAAAAAAGAAATGCAGAAACTATTGTGTTTTTCCTTTTTAAAAAAACAAACAAACAAAAAAAGATCTTTTCTTGTGGTAACACATTGCTAATTTGAAGATTGAAATGCCAGAATAAAAGTGTGTGTATTCACTATACCGACAGATTGGAGAGTTCTCTCACTAAGAGAAGAGCAATGACTCTCAGTGACAGTGGCAGACATGCAGTAGTGCAACTGATTTTATTACATTTAATAATTGTACCTACATCAGTATAGGTATAATTAATACAGATCCTACTCTAAGTAGTTAGAATGTTTTTTAAAGTAATTGTAAATTAAGAAACAGCTTTAAGTAGTCCAAAGTTAAATGCATATGGATTTTCCTTTTCTTTCTGGCTACAGCCAGAGTGTTTACTACTGCTCTTCTGAAAATATTAAATGACATTTTAGCACTAGGGACACAGTGGCTAACTTGCTTACAATACAAATGAAAGAATACTTGGAGAGAAAACTATATTTTTTTCTAAACAGTTTGTGTATCCCCTGAACACTTAACTGATATGAAGTCTATCATCTCGAGCAGAGAAAAACCTCTGAGTTAAATAGTTAACAATCAATGATCTAAAACAGCCAAGAACATGAGTTTAAGTTAATATTTATAGTCTTTTTAAATTAAAAATTCCATGGTGTATTGTTATTAAAAAAACAAATAAATGGATATATTGTTGACAGATACTTTTTGGTTTCGGCACTCGTTATTGTGAAAGTTTTAATAAAGAACTATTAATTCTTGCAGATCTTATAATGATGACTTGAACACAATAGCAGCTGAAATGAGCAATTCTGACTGTGCAATCCAGGCATTCTGTTCTCTGCTAGTATCTTTAAAATGCCATGTAAAATGACTACAAGGCCAAAACTCCAGAGGCTAGGATTCAAAGCCATTGTTTAACCATACAATCACAAAACTGAAGTATTGCTGTGTCACTTTACAATAGTTTTGTAGCATTATTTCTTTTTTTCTTTTTATTTATTTTTTTAAAAAGCAATTTGGAAACAAGATTCCCTTTAAAACCTATTAATTTGACTCTGAATAACTTAACTTACTCATCACCAAACACTTGATGGCTATACTCTGGATTAAATGTTGTGTTGTCATCCTCCAAATCCTCAGGAAAGCGAACTGAGAAGAAAAAGAGCAAGACCAAGTCATCAGCTTCAGTTTGTTCATACAGGGACTCTATGCTAGATGTCCATGCATTCTTTCACTATAAACAATTTCAGTTATGAACCTACGTTAGGCTAGCACACAAACAAAATAAAGACATCCTGTGCAAATCAGATGCATGTTATTTCCTCAAATCAAATCAGTGAGCACAATAAGATGGGGAAATTGACACAGGTGTATATGATTTCATATGTATATCTTGAATGTGACTGACTTTCACTCCATAGTGAACGTTAAGGACACAGCCCAGCTGGATATTCTTACAGTAAGCAAGACCAATCATGTAATCAAAGCTTCCTTCTCATTTTGTCATTCTTCTCTCACATGCAGTTCAGAACGCTTCGTTGTAGGGAGTCTTCACAGAATGATGAACAGAAAAATGTTTATGAGCATTAATATTCACATTACAGTTTTGGAGAATTGGCATGGATACATACAAATCTACACTAATATTGGTATTTCTACCAATATTACTAAGATAATCAGCAATTCTTCTCCCACAACTTTTATTTTTCTTCAAACCTTGGCATTAGAGGTCTTTGCTGGTAACGAGAAAGCATTTGCTAAAGTAGCATCTACTCATACTCAGTAATGTAGCAAACAAGTATTTTATTCATGCTTACAGAGTTCGCTGTGGCTACTGCACAGTAACTGCGACTGAAGTTCTTCCATCACAAAATTGATGATTAGTGAGTGAAATCAGAAGTTAAGGTAGGATTTTCTAGGAGGATTTATAGAAGACTGAAATACTTAATTCCCAGATAGACTCTGCATTCATAGTTAAAATAACTTCCTAAAATTGGAAGGGATATAATTCTTCATGTGATTGTTCAGCCCCATTAATGAGGCATAGGTAACAGTTACATACTAATTTTGAATGAGTTACAATGCATGCAATGCTGTAGGACTTAACAGTGCTATTAAATGTTCTTTTTTAATTAAAAAAAAAACCTACAACCTCATTTTACTACAGTAGAACTGGAGATGTAGTAAAAAGGATTTTCATTAATAAAGTTATCCAGGGAGTAAAATGAATGAAGGGTTTCTTAATAACAGGATGAAACTCAGCCCTCTCTAAAACAGAGATTCAGAGAGCAACCCAGTTGAGACAAAGTAACAAGATTAAAAACAACAACAACAACAAAAACAAACCAGAAAAAAAAAAAAAGAAAAACAGTAATCCTGAGACATCACCATGGAACAAATTAGGACTCAGAAAAGTATACAGCCCGTGTCTACATTTGTACTCCTACACTCATGAGAAAGGCATGGTTTTTTTGTTTTTGTTTTTAAAATGGCATCACCACTTTGTAAATTTCAATTTTTTTTCTAATACCGTTTGAATGTAAAACATCCACACTCTCAAAAAGAAAAAAGTAAACTGAAAATCTTAGGTGACATGGAGTAAAGGGAACAAGTAAAAAGTTTCCCTGAGAACTGTTACAGAGCGACTCCTCAGATGTCTTGACAAAAGATATATATGTATATTCTATTGCTTCTCATCCTTTCCTTTGGTTTTAGAAAGGCAGAAGAGGAAAATCAAAACATTAGATATATAGATTATATATAGTCAAAGAAAGAGTATTTGAACAATTGTTTAAATGGAAGAGAAATGCTTCACAGGTTAGCAGCTTAAAGACTTAAGTGTTTTGGTTAGAATAACATTTTGTCTCAAAAGCCAATTATGCATTTAAAAGTCTACTAAGTTTTGCAGAAGCAACTGTTAATAGGAGTTCTTAACAGTGCTTAGAAGGTTAATTATTTTTACTTTCTTAATGAGTGATGCTATTCATACTGCTCAAGGAAACAAAATCATGAAGTTCTGGAAAGATAAGAAACACAGCTGTATTACCTATTCTTCTCTTATTAATTACCAATACAAGTAAGCTTCAAATATAAGTCAGTCCAACAAGAGTTCAGTAATTCTGCTTGTATTCTGGATGTGGCAGTAAGCAAGTTAGCCATATAAAACAGTAAACAGTTCTGAAAAATAGAGAGTGGAACTTGTTCTATACAGATTTTAAAGACTTTGTTGAAAATGGCTTGTGTTGTCTAGATGTTGAGGGAGAGGGAGAAAAAAAAAAAAAACCTAAGAGCACTTGCCAGTTTTATTTATTGAGTTTATCATTTCCTCAAAAGAAATGTGATGCATACTTAGGACTATATTGTAGCAAAAGTTCTAGAGAAGAAGAAACTAAAAGAACACACTAAAACCTCAAGAAAAACAAGGTGACATAATTTCAATGCACTCTAGTAACACGTTAATATATTGCTGATGTTATTATGCAGGTACAAGCCTGAGTTTCTGTAGCTGCACTTTACTGTACTATTCTCAACAAAATTGGACTATGCATTCCTATTCTTGTGTTTGTATATTAATAAGTACGTATTATAACCTAGGCAGATTTAATTATAAGGACTTTATTAAACAGATGTTAAAATATTCCAAACACACAATATTTAAAAACTGACATTACCTAGTTTTAGCTGAATTGCTTCGTTTGTGTTACATTTGTATTCAGCCAGCTTCTTCTCCATAGGAGTAAGTCCTAAAGAAAAAGTTTTTGAAAGAGCTTAGATATGTACAATCTGGGTCAGTCTAATTCAAGGAAAGTATTAAAAAAGGTTCTTAAGAACAGAAGGAAAAACTTCATAATGCTGACTTCATTTCAAAACACACTATTCTTCCTGCAAGTTCTAGCTTTTCATTCTGCCTACTTTTACTTATGCTGTTTTCTCACTATGAAGTGTTTTCCAAAATGTATGCAGATACCACATCTGAGTCAGAGTTAATGCATTTCAGGTGTTCTTGAACTGTGGCAGGAACACTACCAGCCATTATCGAGCCAGTACTTTCCTTCCAGAGCAGATAGGAAGGAAGGAAATTACAGCTAGCCTGTTTTCCGAAGTCTAATCCAGTGCACAAAAGGTGTGTCGCTTAGCAAGGTATTTTGCAAGTGCGTTAAACCCATCCTGCCTTTCAGTTCCAGCACTTAATCAGAAGTTCTTCCTTCCATTTCAAGTCATTCGCAGTGAGGTTAGGCCGGAAGCGCTGTCAACGGCCGGGCGGGCACAGAGCCGCACACGGTGCGCCGCACGGCTCAGGTGCAGAGCAGACCCACGGCAGCGGCCGCCCAGCCCACAACCCGGCACCCGGGGCCCGAGTTCTCGCTCCGCTTTCTCTGCTGCGGGGTTTAAGGCCACCGAGGGGCCCCTGCTCCCATTTGCGGCCCGGCACAAACTCGGGCTCGGCCGAGAGGAGGGACACCGTCCGCGCTCCGCTCTCCCTAATAGAGGGCCGACGGCAACACCCCGCCCTGCTCCCCGCCGCCTCGCTCAGCAGCCGCAGGCGGGCCGCGAGCCGGCCGGGCCCGGCCTAGGACTCACCCGCCATTTCCCAGCGGCGGCGGCCGAGTCACCCGGGCAGAACGAATCAAGTCGCGCGCCCACTCGACGGAAGTGAGAATACGCGCACACGCTTCCGCTTCCGCCCGCCCAAAAGCGGCCGAGAACCAACGGCTGCGCTCGGCGAGACTAGAGACTCGGCGCGCATGCCCGGCCGCGTGCCGAAGATCGCGCCGTCCCGGCGGGAGCCTTTAAGGAGAGCGTTCGTACAGCGGCTCGTTTGCGTGGCCCCGCCCTCGGGGGGCAGCCGCGTCGCGCTGATGCGCTGGGCGCGCGTACGGCGCTGCTTCGGGCTCGCGCCTGCCTCGGCGCCGGGGCGGGCTGAGGGACCTGGGGGGGATCGCCCGCGCTGAGCGTCGAGGGCTTCGACTCGGGGTCCGGACCGCCCCCCGCCCTCGGGGCGGCCGGCACTCGCCGAGCAGGCGGGTTTCTTCAGCATCCCTTCTGCGAGCTCGCGTGCGTCGTGCCGACGCCGAGCCGCCGTCGGGCGGTTGCGTTACCTCGCGGCCCGCGGGGTTCCGCTCCGAGCCTCGCGCCTGCGAGGCGCCGTAGGGCCGCGTGCCCGGCCGTTCCCTCGCCCTTACCCTGCCGCGCTGAGGGGCGCGGCCGAAGCGCCCTGCCGTTTCCCTGGGCCGCGACGGACTCCGCCGGGAGTCCCCCGCCCGACGGCGCGGGTCGCGAGCGAGCGCCTTCCCGCCCCGAGGCGGCGGCCCCGCACGCCGTGGCGCGGAGGCGCGGAGCCGGGCGGGCTCCCGCTCGAGCCCGCCGGGTCCCGGCCGGCACCGCTCGCTCTGCCGCGGCGCTTCGAGGCGCAGCGGCGGGCCGGCCGCCGGGGAGAGCCCGCCGGGCGGGGCGGGGCCGGGCGCTGCCTCCCACGGCGCTGCGCCGAGGCGGCGGCGCGGCGGGGGGGCAGAGGCGCGCGGCTCCTCCTCCCGCTCGCCGGCGCAGCATGGCGGTCAAGGTGACTCCTCCGTCGTCGGGCGCGGGAGGAGGCGGGCGGCCGCTCCGCCTGGCCGCGGGGCCCCGGGGGGATGCGGGAGGAAGGCGGCGGTGGCGGGGCGGCCGCGGGGAACGGGCAGCGCTGCCGGCCCTGCCTCCGCCTGCCGAGGGGAAGCGGCGCGGGCCGAGGCCGTTATTCGGCGCGTGCGGGACGGAGCGGTCCGGGCCCGGAGCTCAGCATCCCGAGGGGCGGCTGTCGGCGGCACCCGGCTGACCGGACGGGCGGCGGTGATCCGGAACGTCGTGTTTGAGTCCGCTTATCGGTTAGATAAGAGAGCCGATACCGCCGCCCTTATCGCGCGAATTGTGTTTCGCTCCTGAGTCGTGTCTGTGGCTCAGCTGGTGAAGCGTTACCTTACTTTTATTTGCAGGTGCCTTCCACCAAAAGAGCAGATCCTGCCGAACTACGAAGTATCTTTTTGCAGGTAAATGGGCGCGTCTGGTGCTCCTCGGCCGGCAGACTTGTGTTTTCAGCTGTTTGTTACAGCAGCGTCTGTGTGTTGGTGATGGGACAAACTCGGTTGTGTGGACAGAAGCTGAGGTTGCACGCAGGGTAGGGGGCCTCAGGCACTGAGGGGAGCCGCTGCTGTGCGGGTTGTGGTTGGCCCTCCGGCATCATAGCCTTACAGCGTTTTCTGAATGCTTTTCTAAATTCCTGTGACAGAAATGATTGCAATTGTAACCAAGACCATTACTTTAATAGCACGCTTCTGCACTGTTCTGACCTCTATGGCTGTGTGGCTTGTCTGTAAGCTTCAGCCGTGATCCTTCTGCAAATGGATGGACTGTTGGCAATGTTTTTAGAATCTTGAATTATTTTTGTTAGGATTGATGTATTTTATAGTATTACCTCTCACATAGGGCATTAGAATTACTCTATCTGAATAATGGTGTTGTTGTATCCACTCCTCTTAGTTACAGTGAACCATCAATCTGAAAAGAAAAGCCAATCAATCCTGTTACTTTTGAGAAGGTTGAAATAGGTGAAAATCACAACAGTATCCTTTTTCTTTCCTGTTGAATATTGCATGCTACATTCAAGAAGTTTTACTCTGTAGAGAAGGAAATAATATATAAATAAGTATTACTACTGTGTTCAGTTTGGGCCCCTCACAACACAAAAGATATTGAGGCCCTGCAGCATGTCCAGAGTAGGGCAGTGAAGCAATGGAAGGTTTGGAACAGAAGTGTATGGGGAGCAGCTGAGGGAATTGGGATTGTTCAGTCTGGAGAAGAGGAGGCTCAGGGGAAACCTTGTCACTCTCTACAATGATCTGAAAGGAGTTTGTCATGAGTGGGGATCGGCCTCTTCTCCCAGCTAACAGTGATAGGAGCAGAAGGAATGGCCTGAAGTTGTGCTAGGGGAGGCACAGGTTGGGTATTAGGAAAAATTTCTTGTCAGAAGGAGTGGTGAGGTTTTGGAATGGGCAGCCCAGACAGGCAGTGGAGTCACTGTCCCTGGAAATGTTCAAGAAGAGTAGATGTGGCACTTGGGAATGTGGGTTAGTGGACATGGTGGTGATGGGTTGATGGTTGGTCTAGATTATTGTAGTGGTCTTTTTCAACTTTAATGATTCCATCATTCTGTAAATAATGAATTCTGTTATGGCATCTCTGACATGTAGCTTTTGGTCCTACCTTATTATCTAATAAGTAGTAAGTAGATGAAGAGACCTTTTTGCCTGAGAGAGATATCATGTTTCAGCCATCATTTGGTGGGATCTTTGCTCTGTAGAATGGATTATTCTGACAATGTTGTTTGAGTGCTAAAATTTAGTTTTTTGGAGTCAAACCACGAAAGCCTAAATGTTAGTTTCAAGTTACTCTATCACAGATTCATTTCTTGTTCATAAGACATCTAGGTTTTTTTTAATACAAGGAATACAGAAACAGTATAAAAGTGTGTGCTTCTGGAACATCCCATTGCTCTTTTGTAGACTTTTTCAAGAAAGATAATTCTGCATGTTGGGTTGCAAAAAAACCCAAGAATTATGGTGTGAAAATACTCTAACTTGGAAAAGTAGACTCAGTATGAATCTTCTAGTCAATAGATGTATTTGCTTCTGGAAATAAGTGTTTGATGTCCTTGACATTGGTGATACGTGAAAAGGTAGAGAGGAGCTTAATCTTGAAATTGTTGATATGACAGTGTCTGTTTTATTGACCTAAAAAGCAAATACTCTACAGGTTGATGCCCTCAGGAGTCAAAAGTGCAAAAGCTCTCATCTCCCCTTGAGTGCCTGAGGATTGTATTAAAAAACAAAAGACAAGTTACTCAGACACACAGTTGCATGGGAAGAGTTTATATATTTTTGGGGAGATGGGCTATAGAATTATAGAATTGATTCTAGTTGAAGATGATATTATATTCTTACTTTGATAGATAGCAAGCAAACTTAGTTGCAAACATTAAAAAAATCTGAAGAGAACTCAGTCTTTCCAAGACTCAGCTGTAGAGTCTGGTTATGAAATACTCTTAGTGCTGCACACTTCAAGGGTCAGATATGTTGTGCTCTTTCCTGAGGGTGCAGGCCTGTTCTGTCAGCTTCAGTTAAAGGGCGTGCATTCCTTCTAAATTTGTCTTCCCTTGGAAATGGATGCAAGGGAAGATGGGAACTCTGGGTCCCTTCGTCATTAACCTTCTTCTAAGAATAAGAGAACGTACTTAAATTTCCTTCTATTCATACATGTCCTCCAATACAATAATGCCAACTCCTCTGTCAAAGTTTAAGGTATATATTAACGGATGCTTGACTTTTACTTTTCTCTTAGAATTTCTGAAACATGCTTTGTATTTTATTTTAAACCATTAAAAATTTAAAGCTTCACTTGTATGAGCTGGATGTTATGCTGTTATTTCTATATAATCCATTCCCTAGCTGTAGAATGCAGTTAAAATGTCACATGTATACACCATCAAATAAATCACCTCTTAGATTGACTAACCATCGACTTCAGTGACAACCATAACAGAAGAAAGTCAAATCAGTGAAGGATCAAAGACTTGCATCAAATGACAGTTAAAAGATATCTTAGCGAGCCTTCATTCTTTTTCCTTAAGCAAGATACAGTCAACCCTGAGGAAAGATAGCTGAATTATTCTCTGTCGGCTGAATGTAAATGAAACCTGTTCAGCAAAGTGGAGAAATAATCATGATAACATTTTCAAATTTTCATACAGGAAACATTCCCCTCACCTCCCTTAAAGATGTCCTGAATGCTCAGAACTGAGACTAATCATACTAAAAATAATATATTGAGAATACTACAGGACTCTTTTGTTTTGGAACTTCTTTCTCTTCTGCCCTATTAGAATTGTTGGGAGAGAAATCCCTTTAAACTGAAAGCTAACTGATTTTTCAAACTATGCATCACTTCTAGAAGTGTGGTGCTACCTCATACTATGTGGTACAAATAGAGTTTTTGTGTGTTTGTATTTTGTGATGAGGTTTACAAAAAGGTCATGCAAACTCGCCATGTGCTTGAGGCAGTCTATAAATGTACAGTAAGATTAAAAAAAAAATAAACAGTAATCTAATTCAAGCCTGAGGAAAAGAGAAAAGTAGTGTGTCATATTTTATATGCAAATTAAAGTTAACAATTGCCTTGACTAATTGCAAAAGATATGTAAGCTGTATGGTGAAAGTGTCACTTGAGGACAGATTTTGTAAATACATGCCAAAAGGGAATAGCCTAGCTACTTTGTCAGGCCTTAATTTATTGGCTTCTGGCCAGGCTCTTTCCAAATACCATGACCTTCTCGTGTGGAGCTGAATGTAGCTGTCCTTTGATTATTTTAGTCTCAAAATTTTTAACAAAATTTCCCATACACCTAACTCTAACAATTCATTATGTGTGATATACTCAGATAGGTTGGTGCCTGAATTTAAAAAGACAATGGCATTTGCATTTTTTATTATCTTTGTAACACCCTCAATTGTCACGCAGTTGAATTCTGTTGTCCTTAAGGATGTGTTCAATGCTCTTTGTATTCTGTGGTCCTTTGTTTATAAAACTTCATTCAGATTACGTGTGTTGCAGCAGAGTTGTACTTCATAACGTGCTTTTTAGTCATATCAATAT